TCTTCTAGATTTTGATCCAGAATTGTCAGTGGTCACTGATTAATCAGTCAATCAGATTCGATGACCGTCTTTCGTTTCGGTTCGAGCAGGCGGACCATTCAGACGCGGTTTACAACGTACCCGATTCTTTGCCAGCGTTTAAGTTTCGGAACAAGTTAGCCTGAGTCCGGGGCAGATTGTGGAGACATTTGCCTCAGGCTATTAATGACCGTTCCCCGGGATCTTCGGCCCATCGATTGGACAAGTAATAGCCGTTTCGCCATTCGTTCTGGAAGTTTTCGGAACACGTACTCAAACCATCGCAGCTGACTTCTCAGTCTGGAGAAGCAGCAACTGTATACCAAGGCTGTTTCAGTATCAGGTCTACACTCCGGACCATGTCGAAACGCGTAAGGCCAGCGACTCGTCTCAGAAAGCCCATTACAGAAACTTGTATGCGGGTTCGGAGCTTTTCAGCCATCGTCCACGAATCATGACCGTAGGTAAGCATGGGGTGAACACCGAGAGCTTAGTTTCTAGACCGAGTTCTGCTTTAGTCACAGTGGATTCGGGCAAGTCACTCAGAACGCCACTGGCTACTTCTGTCCCCCGGTCGATTTCTTTCTCAAGTTTTCCATAGCCACTAAACATGACCCCGAGTTACTTGAACTTCTCAACCTGTTTTACCTTTTCTCCGTTAATCTGTAGAGATCAGCAAGCAGAGAAGGAGAAAGCACCAGGCTTTTCGTTTTAGATGGCTCACATGCATGGAGGTCACATCGCATTCGGCTGCGAATTTTTCTAGGGAGCATTGAAGATCAGTTTCAGAAGATGCTAATAAAACAAGGTCGTCTCCAAACAGCAACCTTCTCGACTTCACATTTCTTACACTGACGCACTCATCGCCTTGGCAGCTCCTGACTATTCTATCCATGTACAACACAAACAAGAGAGGGGGCAGGACGCAGCCTTGGCGGAGACCACTGCCAACGTTGAATGGCTTCGCCTTAACGTCATTTACTCTGAAGCAGCTCCCTCTGTCAATTTATAGTACTGGATGACACGTGACTACTGTCAGTTGATCCAATATGTTTGCATGAACGCGTAAATCCTACTGCAAGAGTCTGATCATAGGCCCTCTCCAGGTCAGCAACGGATAAATAAACCGGATGAGCGGACTCACATGATTTCTCAGTGGCCTGGTTTGAGGCGAAGATATGATCAGAAGTGTTTCAGCCTGATCAGAAGCGAAACTGTTTTTCTTGTATTTTGGAGTTGGTTATTCTTACCACCTTTGCGAAGACTTTTCCGAACAGCTCAATAAGGCATTGCATCAATAACTGAAGCACTCACTATGGACACCCTTCTTGGTCAGTGGTACTACAACCCCTTTCTCCGTCTTCAGCCCGCTGGTGTTTCGCCCGTAGCCGATGCAGTTTGCCAGACACGTGTTAAGCACAACATACCTTGTTCGTCTAGTGCTATGAGCATTTCGGGAGTAAATACGGATTTCATCGATTCCAGCAGCCTTGCTACTTTTCAGGCCTTTTACAGCTTCTTTGATTTCAACCGCTGCATGCTATTCTTTTCATTAGTCTTCATGCGGATGGTCAGGACTAAGGATTTTCTCAAAATACCCTCTTCATTACCGAAGTATGTCCTAGTTCTTAGCAGGAAGGCGTCCAGACTTGTCTTTCATGACTCCTAGTCTGTCCACCCTTTAATCTCGGAAGCGATAAATGGTCTGTCAGAATACTTTGTTTTCCCTCTGCAAATTCAACTCCTGCACCGATTTGTCGCCGATTACCGGCTGGTGCGAATGATTCAAATTAACTGATTATCATACGAGCCTGTGTATATCCTTTCGAAATGTATAATAATATCATAATCTACTTACATCTGCACTAGGTGCTTTTCAGCCGTCTTTCAAATCCAGAAGCGCATTAAAATTTTTCAAAGCTATAGGTGTATGAGAATCAGGAATCACATAGGAAATTTCAGACCAGCATCGTTCTTCAATGGCACGTTGACATTTGTGATCCACATCGACACCGGCCCACTCGAAGACGAGAAACGAACCTGCAATTCACCGGTTTTAAAAAATAAGTCCACAGTACTTTATGAAAGCAAATTTGCTTAG